TGCACGCGCGCGCACGCACATGAGCGGGAGAAGGGCAGAGAGAAGTGGGGGACAGAGGATCCAAAGCAGGTTCTGTGCTGACAGCACACAGTCCAAGGTGGGGCTTGAACTCACCAACCGTGAGATGGTGACCTGAGCCGAAAGCAGACACTTAACCAGCGAAACCACCCAGGTGCCCTTCTACCTTATTTTAAAATGCTGGTATTTTGTTCGTCTTGGACTTTTTTGCATTAATTTTATTTTTAAATATATTGTATTCAACTATTATTTATCGTGATGACCGAGACTTCTGGGGCCCCCATAAGCTTTGCACTTGAGGTCTTGCTCCCGTCACCCTGGTCGTAGCCCGAATGCATCCTCGGGATTTCCCACTGTCCTCCAGGCCAGGACACCGGAGTCTCACACGGTTCCCATACCCGGGCTGGAGGGAGGGACAGGCTGGGCTGGGGGCAGAGATGCCCAGGGAGATAGGAGGGGCACTCTCAGCCTCCACCCAGCTATGCTGAGTAACCGCACCCCAAGCTCAGACCATCTGGGAAGCTGCCTGGGAGCAGAGCACTGGGGGGCCGTCAGGGACCAGGACTGTCAGATGGCCTGCCTGGAACAGAACCCCCTATGTGAGCCTTATTCTGTTCCCCCAGGACTTCAATGCCCTCCTCCCAGAAGCTGGAGCCTCCCCACCGCAGGCAGAGCCACCTTGCACCTGAGGACATCCAGGTGGGCCTGCGGCCCTGGAATGGGGGGCTGGGGAGGAAAACTGGGAGATGGCCACCTGAAGGCAGAGCCCTCCCACATGCATGGGCCTCTGACCAGTCCCCAGCACGGTGCTAGCCCTGGCCAGTTCCCAAAAGGCCAGGCCTGGGTGAGAGGCCGTGGCCCAGGCTTTCCCCTCCCCCTACAGAAATGACAAACTAGGATCCTCCCTCCCTGCCCAGGGCCCACAGGGGAAGCTCTTCCTCCACTGCTCGGTGCATTCATTCATTAAAAACAAAAAAAATCAAGTACCCAGCAGATGCCTGACCCTGTGCTGATCACTTGTGCCTCCCAGACAGCCACGAGCGTGGTGAGTGCCAGGATGGGGATGCATGGGAACCAGACTGGGGGGGGTCCAAGACGGCTGCAGGGAGCAGGGTGCAGGGAACAGGCCGGGTAGCCAGCCGCTGGCCTCCTTCTCTTCCAGATTCTCCACCTGGAGCCAGGGAAGCAGCAGGTGCAGCCGGAAGAAAAAGAAATGCAACAGCTGGTCCTGCAGACCCCCTACTATGACCTGGGAACCTCCCCCTCCTACTGCCCCTCGGTAAGGACCACCGAACCTCCGGGAGGGTTCCCCAAACCCAGCTCCATTCAGCCTGGCCACGAGCCCAGCTGCCTAGAGGGAAAGAGGGCAGAGGAAGCCCAGGAGATGGGGCAGGGAGGGCACAGGTCAGCCCACTAGGGAGGGGAGGGGTGGCCCTTCATGGTGGCAGCGGGTTCCCTGGGCAAAGCGGGGTCTCGGATGCTGACAGACCAGGGCAGGAGAGTGGGGCTCCCAGTGGGGTGGAACCCCAACCTGAAGCCCAACTCTCTCTCCCCCAAGCCCCGCCCTCCATCTCTGCGTCCTGCACCCCAGTCCTCCGTCCTGCCAACGACCACCCAAAAGCCAGCAGCGGCCCCTCCTCCTGGCCCCACTCCCAGCCGCTCAGAGGGCCAGCGTCCACTTGAATGGCTGCCATCTCTGCCCACAGCTTCTGCCTTTCAGCAGACATGGGGGCTGGGGCGGCCCCTAGACGGCACCAGCCCAGAGACTCAGGCCAGACCACCTGGGCCCAAAGATAACACATTCTCTCCTGGCACTGGTGGGAGAACCAGGCCTTTGTCTTCAGGGCACAGCCATCCTCCCTCTCGGCTGGGAGAGCCAAAGTGAGCCCATCTTGAGATGCCAAATCCAGCCCCTGGTGGGGGTAGCGTTCCCAGGATGCCAAGCCCAGAGGACCAACCTAGCCCCTACCTTCTGATTCTATGCAGGGGGTAAGGAGACCCCCAGCCATTTATTGCTCCTCAACCAGCCTAGAGATTTGGAAGCGAGCTAGGACACACTGGGGACACAAAGTCCGCTCCTTAGACAGCAGCTAGACAGCCCCTTCCCAAGTGAGGGTGCACGCCCAACCCTGTGTCCCAGGCTGCACTGCGTGGTCCTGTCAGTTCCAACAGAAGGGATCATAATGGCGGCGTGAGCAGTTGCTATGTGGAGAGGTTCCAAACACTATTCTATTCAACCCTCACAACAACCTACGTTGTTAAGTCCTGTTATCGCCCCATTTTCTAGAGGAGGAAACTGAGGCTCAGTGGAGTTGTGAGGTTTGTCCAAGATCACCCAGAGAGCACTGGGAAAAGCATTATTCAAACCCCTGGTCCTCTGGCTCCCAAGTCCAGGCCCTAACCACGCAGCAGCCACTAGGATGAGCAGACCGGTGGGGAGTTCACCTAAAAACAGGAGCCTCGAGACTTGCGGAGCCTCCGGGTGGGAACCAGCTGATGCAGAGCATCCTTCAGCCCCAGGCTTCCTGTCTGAAACAGAATGCCCAGCTCTACTGCCTGGCTGTCCCTCAGCTCCAGGGACCCAGAGAGCACACAAGCCAGCCCCTGAGAGCTCGGGTCTGGCGTTCTGAGTTCAGTATTGGGTGTCACTTTGGGCCACCCAATAAACACAGAGATTCAGCTCACCCACCCCTTCCTCCGGACGGTGAGAAAGGACATTCTTCCCAGGCCTGAGCATGGTTAAGGTAGGAGGGAGTGCAGGGACCCTGATATTTCCAGAAAGGAGAAAGCCATGCCCTGTTTAGGATTCTCCAAATCAGCCTCGCTCCTCAGCTCAGGCCCTAGCCAAGAATCCGTAAACTTGTCAGAGCCCTGGGTGGACAGAGAAGTGGGGAGGGAGGGAAATAAGCAGAAATGGGGGTGGGGGG